TGTAAGAACAAGTAGCTCCACTCATAGTGTTTGTACTGGCTACCAGTTAACGTTGATTTCACAAAAAAGGTTTCACTGGCCGGCGCTAAGTGTGGTCATTAATAGCGGTAAAATTCACACTATTTAGGTAATACAAGTATATGTGTATGTTTATATAATTAAGTCGTATACGTCATCATTTTGCGTATCACAAATGGTCATCGTTAAAATTTAGGCCGTAGATATCTTTGTTTATCTCTAGAAAGGATTTCCAACTATAGAGACTGAATAAATACATGCCTGTCTTATCTAGGTTTAGGGAGGATGAACACGGAGTAGCAACTTATTGTTTGTATACACGTTGTTTGAAGCCGGGTCGCATGGCAAGATTAAGGTAATTATTGTATCTGCAATTTTATATGTAGCAACTCGATAAAATTATTTTACTCGGTCCTCAAATTAAACTCGGGACACCAGAAAACGAATTGAAACCAGTTAATGGTGTCACATTTTAGAGCTTCACCCAAAGAACAGTAGTCAGTAAGCAGGGAGTATGCCCCTCAGACACGTCGACTGCATCGTCGTTCCAGCCCACATCTATAAATGCCTTCTAGGAAAATTTACAGAGGCGCTGGCGGCAAGAAAAAGGTCTGAGAATTAAAATTTGGTAACGAAGAGGATTAGGAGAGTGGACGTCTACGGCCCCGCTTACTGGAGGGGTGTTTCGCCTGCAAGATTAAGCTAGTTTTAGGTCTAGGTCGTCTGAAGGCAGCTCGGTGTGCTTACACTATTAGAGACCTGCAGGCAGGTTGATTGTGTGAGGTAAAGAGAAGTACATTTGCACTTACGAAAAAATTTAATGGCGCCTAAAGGTCTTCTTACAAAAAAAATTTACAAAATAGTTTTAAAGAATCCAAATAAGGAAACAAATTTGGTAATGAATATCACTTTAGATTATCAGCAGGACTATAAGGAAGTAAAACTCACCACTAACTGTTGGATGAGGTTCACAATGGCATTCTGCGTACCAACGGGAGCACTCTTTCTCGACAGCTCAATGAGTTGATTCATGAACACGGCAAGTTGCGAGGCGCCCGAAGTCGGTGTACTAGATCTCAACGGCGACTGTACCACCGAAAAAGGGCCTGCAGAAGAAAATGTCGGTCATTGGCAACTGCAGCTGCCCACAGTAAGAACGCTTGCATATCTCTAAAATATTGGTGTCGTTTAAAGAAATAAGCAAAGCTCTAGTCGCCTGCGATACTAAAGAAGTCTAGTTTCATGGAAAACATATGGATCTTCGAGGTATCTTGCCTTCCTAATATACAATGTGGTGTGATTGTTGATGGCGAACAGGACATTAAGAGTAGTAGTAAAGAGGAAAAAGTTAGACTAAGATCAAAATACGATGGCAAGTGACAATACTCGCACTGGTTTCCATGAAACTCGACACCGCAACATCCACAATTGAGGAGCGCTCCAAGATATAGTATGCAATCAATTCTGGAATTTACCAGAGATAACAATGAGTAAGCAAAAAAACGTTTTCGGAATATAGACAGCCTCCTCAAAGCTGTCCCTAGAGTCTGAAATAGATGCGGACAATGTCTCTAAGAATACATAGAATATTTAATATATTAATGTTTCGGACTCGTTCTATAATTAATAATCAAAATCGCAAACATCCACAATGAATGTTCGACAATCGGTGACGTGAGAGCAGCCTAACTATAAATAAGCCCCCGCCTGTGTAATACCCCCCTACTAGGAATACTGCAACTCATGGGTGGTTCCGTCTCGCCTTCTTTGTCTCGAGACAACGGCTCCTACTTGTACTTGTTACGGCTGTGATCATGCCTGATCTAGCCGGCCTCAATG